TTATTATTATTATTATCCTTCCTGTCTCCCCAGCGGCCATTTCTTTTTCCCTCATCCCAACCCGGCCAAGTTCATCCAGTGTGACCTCTGGGGTCAGGTGTTTGAGGTGGACTGTCCTGCCGGTCTGCTCTGGAACGCCTACCAGGAGACCTGCTACAGCCCATCCCCCATCTCCGGGTAGACAGGGACGGAATGTAGCGCTCCCCATCCAGCCCAGTGGCTGGTGAAACTTTACAGGGAACACACAACTAAACTAAGGATTCCCACCGTACGAAAGAACATCTTCTGTGCTGTTTGAGTAAAGAGAAACACATCAAACAATAATAAGAACATCTGCTGTGTTGTTTGAGTAAAGAGAAACACATTAAAACGATAATGGTCTTTAATTAAGTGCTGGGAAAAAGTAAGACAGACGGAAAAGCGAAGCACATCAAAACGATAATGATCTTTTAATGCAGGGAATAGACAGACAGAGACAACAGAGGGAAAGTAAAGAAGTAGGAACTGTTCCTACCAGTGGCACTCTCCAACTACCCCCACGACAGGACAAAATTACTTTGAATTATCTGATAACTTTCCAGAGATCTCAATGCTCGGGGTTTTACTCGATGCATATTTCAAAATGTAGACATTAATTTAAGAAGCTCACACACCCGTGTACATTCATTTCTTGATTTTTCCAGATGTCGCATAGCTGGCTTTTGTGTGAATTGGAATATTGACATAATTTGGTAAAATGTTAGCCCTTTAAATAAATTTCCTGGTAACTGTGCACTGGGATTGTCGTAAATTTTAGAATAAGATTGCAGCCATACCTTCTGCGTGTAATGGAACTTCATGAGATAAAAGTTACAAGGAAACACCTCGCAAAAGTAATTAGTTGCATTGGACCCTACCCCGGGAGCACCACACTTCATACGTGGCCTACAACGATGTTATCTCCACTATTACCTTTTTACAGGCCAACAACTTGATATGAATTTTTGATTGAATGAATAAAAATTGGATGCATGACGTTGAACAAATGAAACATTTGTTGTTTATGTTTGCGGGGCCAGAATACTGTTTCTGGCAATAAAGAAAAAGTGGAATTACATAAGTCAAAAGATATTTCCCCAGTATATCACTGCAATTAAGGCAAAATGTCCAGAATACAAGTCTCAGATCACCCCCCCCCCTCTCTC